CGATAATTATTGAAATACTACCGCGAGTCACTGCAAGTATATTTGATTCATGATATCATTCTAACGAAAGTATACGGCGCTCTAAAAGTATCCTCAGGGCATAAAAGGTTAATGACCCGAACAAATCCTTCATTTCGGAAACTGGCTATTTTCTAGCGCGCTCCTTTCGCAAGATAGAAACTTGTCGGTCTCAATGAAAATACCGGTATCCGTTGGTGAGAACTAATAAAATCGTAATAGCAATAAAAAAGAGACAATTACGGGTCGAGATAAATTCACGGATTGCCGGGACCGTGAAGCACGAGGAACTTTTATTGGCCATAAATGGCACCGAAGAGCAACGGGGTTCTTTATAATTCTCTCGCCGCTTCAGAACCGAGTAATAATCGAGATTTAGAAGGTAAATGAATACGACATGGCACAATACGATCATTTACGTCGGTGTGACGCGAAAGAGACGAAGTTAATGGCGTTCGTGGACCACGGAATTGGCCGAGGAAGCGGAAGAACCTGCCATTAATTATATACGGAACACTGGTATGAAATATCACCTCGGCCCACCACTTGCAGGCCTCTCCCCACGCCTCCACCCCAGGTCTATGTTGCACTTCGAATTGGCGAATTTTGCAAAAATTACGCTTTCCATCCTCAACTCGCGTCCCGGTTGAAAAATGCGCGCGGAGATATTGAAATTTGCAAACTTGAAATTCCATTAAAAAGTACGAAAATTAGGAGAAAATGACGATTTCATATCAATTGGAATCCCTATTGGGATTCTCCTCTTTTTTTGCGACTCAACCTCGCTTCGATCGAGGGAAAGAATTTCTTTTTCTTTTTTTTTTTTTTAATTGAGGCAATTGAAATCTCTGCGTGGAGATTATTTTGCAGCGTTACGCGCAGTAACGTTATACGTTGTCAATCGAACTACAATTACAATGGAGATGTTAAACGTATGAGAAAAATTAAATTTATTTTAATAGTAAGTTTGCGTAATAAGATACTAAATGACGATGAAAATGAAAAACCCGGTTTCTGAATTGTTTAATTAATTTACTTACCTATCCTAGCCTATTTTTTAACGAAGCCTTTGGAACTTTATGCGAACTATATACAAGTATTTATAATATTTATATAGACAAAGGGATTTTAATGTTCGAAGAAAATGTTTGGCAGAGACTTAAAAGGAGCAAGTCAGACGTATCGATAGCGAGTTTCCTCAAACTTGGATGACTCAATGACACAAAGAACACAGAAAGATCGAATGTATAATGTTGAAATTATTAGAGAAATCAATGTGAATGTAACAAAATGGCCAATGAAAAGTCAATAGGATCGTAAAAGTCAACGTAAGTTTCCTTTCATTCGATTGGCTTTTAAATATTATTTTGTAATAGATGGAAAGAGAAGAGCAGGTCGTCGCAAAGACGAGACTCAGACGCCATTATGACGAGAGTCCGTAAAAGTGATCCCGTAAGAGGGGATTATTATTCGCTGTGTCACGAGGCGAAAAGGATATTCGATCAAAGCGGATCAAGGGCCAGACACAGATATGTCCTTGTGCTGTCTGCAGAAGGGCGAATCTCGATAGACGTGGAGAAAAAATTAACAGATGTTCGTGTGTCTGTCGCTAGATTAGGGTGAATGACATTGTGGAAAAAGAAGAAGAAAAGGGTAAAATCGAGTCTCGGAAATATAGCCTTTTACCGGTGGGTTGCTAATTGCAATTTCATAATCTCGAATATTCAGGAAATCCTTTAATACGTAAACTGTTACTTCTATATATTTTTCCCTGGGACCCGCGATAGATTGAAATTATGCTACGTCGTAACGTTTCATTTTTACAAAATGTCACATCCCGCTGTTTTCCTTTGACAATATTATTTCTGTTACCTAAGACTATGCGGGCATTAGCAGCAATTTACTGTACAACAGTTTCGTCGCTCTCGCTCGTGTCGATCAAAAGTTTTGTAGCGACATATGCGTCTTAGAACATTTCGATACGAAAATGCCTCACGTAGTTGTTTTGCCACAAAGGATTAACACTGTACGATGCACATAATGTAATAAACAAACTCTGGACAAAGCAATTCCGCTTGCTACGTGCAACCTACGATCGGCGACAAGTTCAAACGTTTCGGTACCCCCCTCGACCAGTATAAATAGACGACCATGTCCTCCAGACACAGTCAGTCGCACGAATTAATATCAGTATCGATCAGTATCAGTCAGTCAGTCAGTCAGTCGAGCGTATAAGTCTTTGTCTAGCGAATCAGCATAACAATTAGTATCAGTACCGCAGTATCGCGCAATCTCACAACGAATATCATTGTATTCTATATTTTAAAATATCTGTAAATATAATTAATTAAATTAACTCGTCTTGTTATTATCTTAACCAACAACACGTCACACCGTCTACCACAGTTTCTAATAACAAGAAGTTCGTCCTAAAGTCGCGTTATCCAATGCGCATACGTCCATATAAACCATAGAGATATAGAGTGGGCGTGCTGAAAACCTGATATAGCAATGGAAAGAGAACTCTACATAGAGAACTGTGTCCTTGTCTAATAATGCACGCGTATTCGTACAGTAAATATGTAAACGTAACAGCAAGCAACGAGCGACCTCAATGTGCATGCCTGATTAGACCTGCATATAAGGGGCTTATATGCAGCGTTCTCTTTCTATTCCTACATCTGAACCACTTACACGGTAACAGATAACTCGTGCACTCGTTTCTTATATCTGTACGATGGGAAATAAACGAATGGCCTTTTCGTGAACGACGAAACGATTGCGCGACAAATTGTCGTCGCTAGTACCCGCATAGCCTGACATTGTTGACGATCTTCTAGCCCATAAAATTTATCCCGCTTCAACCTATTAACTGCGGAATTTAGTTTCAGAAATCCCTTACAGGATGCGCAGGTAAAACCAAGCAACGATGAGTGTACACTGGTCGAACGCAGAGCAAATGATCGTACTATAAATTTTACGAAAAGAGTAAAGCAAAACGAGGAAGGATTACATTTTTATTCGATAAAAAGTTAACAATTCGTCGTTGGAAAAAGTATATTGTTATTGGAAACTTAAAGTTGCCAAAAAATAATAAAATTGGTAAACAAGAAAAATTGAAGAAGAACAATTTTGAGAAATTCGATTGATTTCAGTGTGATATTGTTCAAAGCAAGGTGGTAGCACGCCTAGTGGCACTTCGCAGGTCGAGCACCAATAACGTGGCTGCTTACGGATTCTATTTTTTGATCAGACGGTATATCTTCGAAGTGGATTCGCTTTTGATGCTGTAGCTGGTATAAAGTTACATCAGCCGGTATAAAACACAGAACAATTCTGGGAATAACCAATATACGTATCAAAGAGAACAATCAAACAACCAAACATTTTTTCATAAAATACATAATAGGTTTACTGAAAGCATAAAGGAAACATACCACTAAATGTCATTTATATTACTTTTTACTAAAATTTTCGATTTTTATAGTAAATGGTAATTTTTTATTTTACACGATCAATATACACGTCAACCGCACCGAAATAAAACTTTGGATTGACGTGTATACACGTCGAACCCAGTTAATTGGTTAATAACTCTAGTTAAATAATCTGGTAACGTGGTTTACCGACGACCAGTTACCACCGTGCTAGTCGACCCGTGAACTTCATTCTGCACTCTTTCTGCCCCGTAACAACGTCTTTCGATAGGGAAAATCGACTGGAACACACGGTATTAGAGAGCAACGTGGAGTGCATTAGTGGACTCAGCCGCAATTCGGAATTGTCGCGACCATTAGGCGGTCAGTCGAGTGGCGGCAACTTCGCGGGACAGCCAGTCTGGTTGCATCACAAGGCGTAAAAGGGCCGCGGTTCCACGGCATGTTCGCACGTATTACGAGTTTCGTAATAATGGCACGCGCGCGTGCAAATTGCGCCAACACCGATGTTTCTCTTTCTTTTTTTCTTCTTCCCTTCTTTCTTCCTTTTTTCTTCCTCCCCTGCTGGAATGGGACTGGGGGAAATTAAACAAGCCTCGTTTACCACGAAACGACCAGCCGAGAAAGAAACTGGGACGCGTAGCTTTGTGTCGCGACGATATTCTTTACCTGGCTGCCTATTCGACGATGGTAAGACAAAAAATCGTTTGTTCTCACGCTCTGACGAAGACTAATTGTCTTTAACGTGTAGGATGATATACGATTGAAGATATTTTCTTCGTCATTGCCACTTTTCGTCCAGTTTCTGTCCGAGTGGAATTCGTATTAATATTTATAATGGCGGGAATTGATACACTATGAATTTCTCTTATCCATCTTGAACTATTTGCCGAGGTAAATCTTGCGTTGCTAGAGACGAATAATATTTTCAGGAGAAATACCGATAGAAATTATTAACCAAACGAGCCATTGTATCGGGTGAAGTTCATTATCTTTTCTCGTAATGTTTCCTATTTTTATAATCTCTGAACGACGCTTAAAACGGTCCATATTCGAGTAACATATTAACTTGAGTCGTTACCATAAAAGATGCAAAGTTTATCCAGGAAGTAGTTGAAACCCGTGTGCGATCTAAATTTTAGCCTCCATTTTTCTTTACCGAACGTGGATTCGCGCTAGAATAGCGGCCGCAATGTTTGCAGTGTTAAATAACATTTCAGTCGGTTGAATTGGCTGTATACACAAGCTGCGCCGAACTCGAGATACAAATGTATCACGTACGAAGCGTGTTTCCTCTCAACTTTTATTTTACCCCGCACGATGTAACTTTAACTTGCTCAAAGGTGCTTCCAGGGAATTTGCAGCACGTGCTGCGTTTTCATGCTTCCGGCAAGAAAATTAATATCCTACTAAAAATTAATTTCCCTGAACATCCGGAGGAGTAATCAAAAATTACGAGACACGGAACGAAAACAACTCTCGTCAAATTTCCTCGTCTTTTAGATAATAATTATCAAATTTGTCTACTTTTTGGATAACAACGCTCGTGTACATTCTGTCCGTTATATAAAACATTTTTATAAAATAATCTTCGTTTTTTCTAGAAAAGAATGCAGACCCGGACAAGGATTATTCTTGCACGAGCCTTTAATCAGCTTTGTTTATAATTTCAGGAAGAGAAATTATCTGAAGACTCGTAACGTTTGCAAACATAAAAAAGTATCTTAGCACTTGATAGTGGGTCTGGTTAACCAGAGCAATGGATAAAGATCGAAAGAAACGATTCTCTGTATCCAGAGAAAATGGGGCGCGGAGATTGCACAATTCAAATCGGTTGTCTACGTAAACAACCCACGTGAAAACCGCCCCAGTAGACAGAAGGTGGAGTAACAATGGCGAATGTGCAACTGTCGCGACTGTTTCATCTTACTTTCGGCCCTCGAGAATCAATGCGAAAGAGATCGGATGAGACGCTTTGTGGAACGCTGGAATAATGAAGCGGAACTTCTTCCGCGGAGGGAAAGATACGACTTTTCGCACTGTTTTTTCCGATTTTTCGTTCCGTTCCTTGACGTAATGAAAGGAAACGAAGAGAACGTACAGTCGGTGAAAGTTGGTCTTCGAGAATTAGTGAGACACGATTCAAAAGCAAAGAAAGACAGCGATTCCAGGCACATAGAACTTAGGTAAAAATTCAAATTTCATTTATAAGATTCAGTCGTATGGTATCCATTCAAAAATCTTTCTTAATATTGTTCTTTAGAAAGTATTTTAGAAAATTGTGTACGATATACGATTTGATAAACAGGTTTTATAAATACGTAATTTCCTACTTTTACTTAATGCACGTATATTACAAAGAACTTTCAACTTTGTACACTGGGAAAATTTGTATAATACGATCGATCAACTTTAAGCTTTTCAAACAAAACATGTAGTTTCAGAAAGGAAACTTATATAGTAGTAATCCGCAATTTTTGCTTGTTATCCGTTAAAATGACGTAAAAAGTGATTTTCATATTAACAATATTGCATTAGCACTGTCACGGTACGTAAATGATTTTTGGAACCTGATATTCGCATGGCTCCTACGAGACATTCTAAATACACATCATTCGCTGTTATTTAATATTTCAATTTACGATCTCGCTACATCAGTTCTGTCAAATATAGCTCTATCAAGTTCGACATTTCATAATAATATTGCGCCGTGTTTTTCTTTGGTATATACGATCGACAAGAATAAAGGAAGAGTAGATACAAATTTGTCAGCGAATAAATTACGATCCGCGTGAATAGAATGTTTGACGAGATAGAAAAAATAAAATTCATCAGGATATAGCGAAATTGAACGGCGTTGAATGAAATTTTCACTCGACTGCCGTGGCGAACGCAATTTCATCAGGTGCCGCCTCAAAGGCTTTCGAAAAATATTAAAATTTATACGGCGATAAGTTTAAAATTTACATACTATTTTGTAACTTCTGCCACGGCCACGGGCACCCCTTATAACTTCGTTTAGCGCCGGAGATGAAACAAGTAATAGACTTGGTGTAGAGGTAATAAAAGTGTACCACGGAATAAAAATTTCAAAATTTTATCTATCTCGCGCCCTTCCCGGGGACAATATCATACTATTATACCGCCATCTAATCTACATGCTTTAACACTGTGATAAGGAACAGGCAATTCATCGGGCGAACGCACAGAGATCAATTCGTCGCCTTAAAATCGTGAGTCAAGAAACATTCAGGATTCGGTAGAAAAGAAAAGAAAATGTTGTTTGTATATCAAGATGTGAATTACAAAGGAGAAATCGTCAGATGGAATAATAAAAATTAATTCAGAAGAAAGTAGGAAGAGAGAAGAACAGGAGAAGAAGGACCAAAGAAGAATAGAGAATAGCTGCATACTTATAGCTTCATATTATATTTTTGTATTTTTAAATTTTACGTTGTTGAAGATTCATATTTTATGTTTCTGTTTGCATTTGTATGTTATTGAGATTTAGACACTGCGAGAATGTACATACACAAGTATGTAAAGGTGTAGAGAACATAAGAGATATATACACATAGCAAGATTGAATTTAAGTTGCAGGTTTTAAGTTTAAATGCTAAGAAATGTTAAGAAGAAATGTTCAGAGAAGCTTGCTAGTTGGAAAGGTAAACCATAAGTGTAAATCAAAGAGAAATATAACTGGAACTCTAACGTGAAGAGGGGAATATTCCATGAAAAATAAACGAAAGAATAAAATAAGTAAATTGGACAAATAAATTCGTAACGTTGAAACCGTGAAAGTAGAAACATTAGACATTCGTTAGAAAGAAATATAATTTACGTATTGAAACTCGAGTTATAATTTATAAAGGAAAATTTATTTAATTCACGATCGTATAAGAAAGTTTGTTCGTAAAAAAGTACTCTTCAATTTTTCTATCACGTTTGAATCTATATGCTTTCGCATCAAACTTTTTACTCAAACTTTCTACTAAAATCAGATTCGTAAACTTTATTTACTTGCATACCTGAAGATCTCGGAATACATGAATAAAACCGTTCGCGAAAATTCTCAAAAAGAATACCCACGATCAATGTAAATTCTCCAAAACACAAGAAAAGAGATTTACTAGAATGGACGAATAGGGGAACCGAGAAGTCCGCAGAGTCCATTCGAAATTCCACGGGCGAACAGATCGAACGAGCGATCTGCGAAGCCATCGACCGAAGGATCGCTCCATAACCCGACCTCTAACCTCCGTGTCTGCATTTATATTTTCGCTGCACTTTCCGCGAACACGGAACCATCCCTTTGTACCGCAACGTCGTTCGATTGCAGCAGACGTACGAAAAGAAACACAGTGGAGAAAACAGAGGAACGATGGGAAAAGTGAATGACCTGGTAGATTCAAAGATTACAATGAAAGGCTTTTAAAAATAAAACTTCAAAAACACAAGGGGTAAACCCACGATATTTATAACAAGCTAATAATATTTGTTTAGTTAGTTCAATTTGATTAACGATAATCTACGCGGTTGACGTTATCAATAATTTTTAAATGTACGAGTCACTGACAGAGAGTTCTGATATGAAATTGTTTGATATCTAAATTGCGGATTTCTACGCACGATAATTATATATATAACATCTATTGTTCTATTTTTATTTCTATCGCATCTATCTATCCTATTTCTTTAACTACGTTCGTAAAAATATAAAAATAACGTTGAAGTTTAAAATTCGTTTTTCTATAAAGAAACGAAGAATACGACTTATGTTTTCAGCTTGTGATCTTCGTAATTAGATAGAGCATAATTTAATGTGATATCAAACTGTCAGGTACAAACTGTCGAAGCGACATTTCGCATGCGCCAACGTTAATACAACACCTAACAAGCGAAGATACGAGGGCAAGAAAGATACGAAAGTTTCTGAAGCACGCAGCGTCGCCATACAGACGACTAGAGGAAGAGACAGAGAGTCATAGAGGGGATGTTGAGACCGGAAAAGGGGTGAATGCGCGGACGGAGGGGTCAGTGGCTGGAAAAAGAGGGCGAGAACCGAACATTCTCGACGTCGTCGTCGTCGTCCGATGAAAAAGTCGTTGGCGGCGCCCGCCGGTCTGGCCAATATTTTACTATCCAACACCAGCCACCCCTGACTACCCCTTCTGCATCCACCCCTCGCACCACCATTATCCGTGCCGTTTCTTTCCCGTGGCGTGGCCAATGGCGGCGAAAAAGAGGAAACGAGTCGAATCCGACCGAATGGGATAGAGAATACCGGAAAGTGTGGTTAGGGGTGGAAAAAGGAGAAAATTCGAGGGAAGGTTGCGCGGAACGCTCGATGAAAACGCCCCCAGATCTTTCGGTTTCTTCTCTCATCGCCGATGATGCAGGATGCACCAGAATGAACTTTTCGTTCGCCACTTCGCTGTCCAATACGAGCAAGTAACACGCTATCTGGTTTTTTGAACAAAAACTGATACTTGTTGGAGGTGATAACACTTATTTTCATGAATTTATCTGTTAGAGGCAGCTAGCATAAATAATTGCAAATTTCCAGATAAGTTTAAAAGAATAGAGTGTTTAGAATCGTCGTTATTCTTTGTACCCTAATTTGTAGATTCGATCGGCATGGCTTCTGAATAATTGAAACGGTAATCCGAATATCACGAAATGAAACTTTTATGTACCGATATCGACTTAAATTTATAACAACGTTCAACTTAATTTCATCACTATCAAGGGTATTTTCTTCTATAGAAAATTTAATTTGAAACGAACCGATAAGGTGAGGCAAATTCAGGGTTGCAACCCTTCGATTAAGTGCTCGAACCTTTGCTTCTCTCCCATTCTCCGTAGTGCCATCAAAGTACATTTTGTTCATCCATCCGGCATTCTCTTCGGACGGGCGGTGCCTGAGTTTCTTAATTCGAATTATTTCCCTGGTGCACCCAAGTGCGCCCATCGCTCGATTATCCGTACGGTCTTCGACAAAACCTGGTCGCTCGCGACTAATCACCCGATCCATCTTCCTTGGCATCTGCGCTCCGAAATAATTTTCCCTGGCTCGCGAATATCCCGAAATACTACTGAATATCATCGATGCGATTTTCATTGTAGACGAATATTATAGAGCTTCGCCAGACTGAAACAATAGCAGAAAGCGTTTGCTTTCAATTAACCCGCATAGCCAGTACACTCCGAGCGCTTCCCTCGTAACGCGTACGCTGGGCTAGTTCGATGGTAATATAAATTAAAACGCCCTTAATCCGTCGATACGACTCCCACTGGGCTCTTCGTTATGGTTCACGAGCTAAGGATTCAGATCAACTTTTTATGATCGCCGAAGGGCTCTTATATTCTGGTCTGTAACGCTGGTTACGATAAAAAATTAACAGAAAAAAGAAACATTTTTGTACGAATAAAATACACGGGATGGGACAGGAACTACTTCGACAAATTAATAACTCTAGTAAAAAAGTTTGGGTAAATAAATATAGTTCGAAGAGGGTACACTGTATACGTACTTAATAATTAATTTGTACTCGCCTGTATTTTTAGAAATTTTTAAGGCATCTTCGATCTTTCTCAAAACGAAAGTCAACTTCTTGCGCAATGTCGTAGATACAGCGAGGAAAAGATCGCGTTTCGGAGATCCGAAAATTTAGAAGATCGAAAACCTGAAAGTTGGAGGATTTGAAATCGCGAAGCTTTGGAAGTTGGCAAACATTTTAAAAACTTGGATACTTGGAAATATGGATATTTGAAAATGTATATATGCGAAAGTTTGGACATTTAAGAATGCAGAAACATGGCATTAATGGAACGTTAGCTCTCAATGTATTAAGCAAAGTTTATGAAGTGCATCCTTGCGGCTCGGGGAAATTCACAACCGACTGGACAACTTGATATTTCGCGTTTCAACTTCCCTTCCGTGGGACCCGTGGAAAATTCGACGTGACCGGTCCTTTCACGATGGCTCCTCCGGCAGTTTTCCAAAATTAATCAATCGCGATCGATCGCGACCGCCCACGACGAATTTCCGATACTGCCCGGTGAACGTGACCCAAATTCCTGATAATTCAATATACCCGCGTACATCCTCAATATATGTCTGTGCATCGGCCCGGACACGCTGCACCGTGTACACCGTTCACGTACTCCCTTCCTTATCGATTGCCTGTTTCGAGAATTTGCCCGATTGCACGCCAAGATTATTGCCTGGAGTTTTCATCGCAAACAGTCAGCGACTGTGTATATGGTATATGGAAGTGGAAGTTATGCGAATTCTAAGATTTCGTAACAATTTTATGGGAGGGATTAAAACGAATAACATATCAAAAAAAAAAAAAATATAATCCGAAGAGAAAAAATAGTTGTTACATACTTTATAACATATTGTATAAAAACAATGGATAAAGTGTTGTATAAAAATTACTGTATAATAATAATAATAAGATTCTGTAAAATATCGTATAAAAATCATACAAATTCCTATATTCTATGATTCCTGCTATATCTATGGACAATTATCCATCTACTATTTATTTTCGAAATTTTTATTTATTTCTTGTTTTCCACCCATGAAATTATAGGATCCTAAGATTTTCTAGAAAACTGTTAATATATCATTCTTCAACGAACCTAGACTCTGAAATCTGATACTTTCTCTAATTATGGATTCTCTAGCGTGAGAATTCACCAGCCTGCATGCTAATTATCAACCACATTTTTCCGTTGTAAACTAGAAACTTTCTTAAATCCTCCTTTTTGCTTCAACTTTTTGCCTAGAGCCTTCCACGTAATTAAGAACCACCACAAGTCACAATATTTTAATTCAAACGTTTTCAAATTTCTAATTCTTCAGAATATTAAAGAAATATCAAACGAACGAATATCTAAACTATCATCGACTTCAGACTATCAACCAGAATTCTAATTTCTTGGTATAAAATTATTTAAATATTACATAAGTAAGCAAACCTAGAGTATCAAACTTCTCTCGTTTCTAAACCATCGCTGATATTTTCGCGTACATTATCCGGAATCAAAGCAGCATCCAAGGCCATCGATTATCTAACGTTTCGATCGTTACATACAAGGCTCAACCAAGGATAACACGAAAGGTATCACGATTCGAGGAGATTCTTTGGTTTGGCGTGGGTGTCGAAGATATTTACAGGTGCGTGTCCACCTGCGTGTTCACGGAGGTAGTCACGCTATCACAAGGAAGGGGAGTACTTATCACGTTCTGGGCTGGTTCGTTGGTTACCATCAACGCGTCGACCATGTTACAATTTTATCGCGGATTATATTCTCTAATGAGGAAGGCGGTCCTTTTATGCCCCTCTTTTACGCACCGTTCTGTCACGCGACAACCCCTGCAAACCAACCCCGGCTGCTTTTTTAAAAACCGGCTCGTTATTTTCTTGCGGAAATTTAACAACGTCCTCTAACCACTGCTGGGACTTCGCCGTGTATTTCACAAGTTTCGTACACGCTTCGCTATTAAGCGATTCTGAGACAGTTCTAGTACCGGTGATATTAATTTCTTTTTCTTTTCTATCGGGTTAAGCGATTAAGGGTGAAGCAGTGAAATAATGCGTGAAAGTTGTGGTCACGCTATGTTATAGAACGAATTATGTGTAATGGAAATTTTATACGTATATAATTAGCGAAGATTTGGAAATTAGAAAATTCGTAAGATATAAGTATTTAGGTAGTTTGATTCTTAAAAATTCGGAAATTTCAATATTGAAGAATTTGAGTTTCTGGTTGTTCGAATATTTAAAAATTTGAACACTCGAAAATTCAGGAACATGGGATTAATGGAGCGTTAGCTCTTAATGTATTATAAACAAAGATTTATAACTTTAATTTACGTATTTGCCAGATGCAACTCCGCTGTCTTATTGTATATGGTATTTATGAAAGTTCATGCACGTGTTACGAAACTACAAGCTGCAGAAGTTACACCATTTGTCTGATAAGCTGCGCTAAATTGAATAAACAAGAGAAACTTATCTGTACAGATACAGATACGATTGTATTCGATACGAAAGAGATAGGTGGCAAGGAAATAAAATCATAACCTACGGAAATATACAGTTCAGATTTTTATATAACGATGTAATCGATTTCACGTGATCTCGTGATGCTTGAGATCGATCTGCAACAAGTTCCTGTCTATACTTTCAGTGGTTCGTCGACGACATCGGAAAGGATGGCAAAGATTTACCAAAGCTCAACGTGAGAGTGCCTACAAGCGTTACAACGTCTATCGAAGTTCCCGTCCTAACAAATTCCAAGCCTGGAGTTCGCTCCTTCGTTAGAACTTCCTTTTACTCTTCAACAAGTACAAGCAGTTCCACGAGTTCTAGCAGCCAGTCAACAATATTTTCAAACTTTTTCCTTCCTAACTCCAGTAAATTAATCCACGATTATTCCCCTCAATTTCATTTTGTACCACTAACCATTCCCGTGACATTCTCTAAGACTAAGTTCGACAACTTAACCGAACTCAGTTTATTCGCTTATTGTCAAAGAATAAGAAATACAACGATCAAAGTAACGTCGTTCCGAGTTTCAATTTCTAATCGAGAAAACTCGAGAATATTAGAAATAATAATCATCGGATCACGATCATTTTCCTATACCTCTGAGGATACGTTAACTACAAATCGTTTCATTTTGCTGTTTTCCACGATGTCGTCGCGACGAAAGCATACCGGCAAGATTCCGCGAAAAGTTCTCTCTACGATGATCCTGCGTGGCAACATTTTCCGCAACAATCTTCGTTTCCAGAACGTTCGAGTTATGTGCTCCGTGTTTTTCATGCCTTCCTTTCATCCCCTTTCTTCGAGAAACGATCGCGCCTTCTTAGGCAAATACTAGACTATATTACAACATGCATACTATAATATGTCTTTGATACGAAAAATTCAATCAGTTTTTCTTTGATCTTCTACGGTGCTGGCTCGAACAACACGGAGGGGTTAGGGACGCCGACTGTCCGCATAGATGGAAATCCGCATAGTTGAGAACATCCTCCCTCATCCGTCACAGAAGACCGAAGTACATATCTACATATACATATGTATTCTTCCATTGCTTGAACATATATTTATACACATATATAATATATACATACATACGTACATACCAATACGTACACATACCTTACATATTTTTTTATTGTCGATATGGAGAAGAAAAAAATGGAATTCTACTGTTCGAAGGTTTAGAGATATCAAATCTCGTACGTAGCATATTAAATGGTCAGTCGATTACGTTGAAATATTTCAGAGACAAGAGAAATATTACGACACTTATCGTTAGACGTAAATTGTGAATTGCGACTATATGAGAACATTTCGCTTTTCTAAATGACATATCGGTCTCTTGAGCTATTGAAATTATTATTATACACTCGAACAAAGTATCTTAATAATTGATCAATTTTACTATAAAAAATAATTTGACCGCCGGGGTTGCAAACAGCTTTCTTTTCCTTCCATAACGTTCAAAAACCGTGTTAGTTAGCTGATTGGATATTTAACGATTGGTTAGATCCTTTCTTTTTCATGATCCCGGATATTTTCTTGCCAAGTTTATTGGTTTCTCCTTAGCGAACAAAATACACCGGCTTATTGCGAATAAGAAGCGTCCCGAGATCCTATCGAGCACTGATTCCGCAGCATTCGAGATTACATACTATGAATAGAACGTTTCAGGTAAGACGGCTCCCCTGTACTTTCACGATATTGGAAAGCTGATCCCGCAAGACGATATCACTGAACGTTTAAAATTCACAATCAGACGCTGGCGATCTTTTTGTCAAGTCTTGTGCTAAAGCTACCGGTAACGCAAATCAAATTCCTCTTTTCTGATAAAAATCCATATCTCTCGAAATATTCCTGATACTATTTAATCCCTCAGCGTATATCAATGCAGGTAAAGGTTATTCGATTCATTTCAACGTCTTAAAATCCAATCTTCAACTCTGCGTAGGATAATCGAACTTAGTCGTATATGAGCTTTTCATAATCATTTCTATCGTTTATCGTTTTTATCGCGTCAAACGTAAAACAACGTTTTAACGTCTTCTGAAGGAAGATAGTCAAAAGATAAGCGCATTAATTCGGCGCGGTTGATGGTTAAAAACACCGAAAATTCAAGATGGAATGTTCGATATTAAATCGAAGATCATACCTTTGCACGGTATAAACTTCGATTGATGAAGGTCTTCACAGAACAATGGTTCATAAAAGCTTGCACAATGGAATATACAAATTGACGTTGATTTCCATGACAAAAGAAATTCTCACTTTTGTTCCCTTATACGATAGAAGTTTCTGTAATATCGGACTATCACGTTCGTATTAAATTCCTGGATGTATTAAATTTTTCCATCTCGTCTTCAATTTAGTCTTCAATTTATAAATTATTGGATTGGCAACTAAATGATTGCAGATTTTGTCATTAGGTGGTCATTGACAAAATACGCAATCACTCAGTTGCCAACCCAATAAAAGCGATGTAATCGTGTTAATAATAATATTTTCGTAATTATTGTCACGATAAAAGTTTTATCAGGCGTGTGAAGATTGTTTGCACCGAGTGATAAAAATTAAAATTGCAAAAATGCACGATACAAAATATCCAAAGTATAATACCTGCTACAATATTGAGATTCCATTTGTTCAATCAAGTTTATAAAAATACCGATGAAATCACATGTCTGATACCCAAAAACCACAGAAATCGGTGTCTTCGTCGAACAAATCTTTGGAAAATTAGAAAAGCATCGGTCTAGCGACGATACGGATCGCGAAGACAAAGAAACCGGGTGAAACTTCGACATCGGAAGTACCAGCGGCAATTTAAGGGTTGTCGGCCCGTTGAAGAGCCACGCGGCGAATAAAAGCAACCACGTGCACCTGACACCTTCGAGATTCCCTCGACTTACCGTACCACCGCGAACTCCTCTCTCCGTCTCTCTCTTGAGGTTTCAAGGATTTACCTAGTACGGAGATGGTTTACGGATTTCGCCAAGCTACCTAAGGATCCGATAATCTCCGGCGATCTCGAGTGAATGGGAATTTAGCGAGATGTTGGATCGCTGCTTCATTTTACAGAACAATGGTGCTTAGATCTTGTTTTTTATTCAGGAAATTCGGACGAGAGTTAGGTTGCATTAGGTTAATCCCCAACTACAGATATCTGGATTTTTAACATATTTTATTTATATTACCTTTGTGTACCGTAACGATACGATATTTTTACAATACGATTTTTATTGTATATATTATATAAATATATATAAATTAAAATTATAAAAATTAAATATTGGAATATTTCGGCTAATTTTAAACAGTCTATACTTGTGAAACTTTCAAAAACCATAGAACATCATGTAGCTTAAAAGTTACGTACTTTTGTACGTATACTTGTATGTCTTGACTCTCGTTTTATTTAGCTGATGTTATACGTTATATTATATAGAGAAAAATTTTCTAGTCGCTTTTATATTTAGTGGTTACATGCCTGCTCACCCATTTATTCCTGAATAGTTTTTGCGGGTACTCGGTTCCTTTAAAGTCTGTGCGAAAAACAAATTTGCAATATCACCGGTACACGGAGCAAGAAGTGACCTATGAATATGTCTATTTGGCCCGTTCGCGGTTACACGAGGCCATAAAGTAGACGTTGAATACGATGTCGAGTAAAAATTCCTCCAATAAAATAACCAAAAAAGCAGCTTTTCTGACTAAAATACTCGAACAGGCATAAAGAACTCCCAAGTGCATAAATTCCATGCATGTGAAACGAGAGGACGTTATGCACTTTTCAAAGAAACTAGCACTGTGTGTACGTGTGTGCGTACATCTCTCTGTGTGCAGATATTCTTTGCGCTTCCTAAAAAAAGGCCAACGTAAAATGCTCAATTTTTCGAGGCAATGATCATCATTAAATACAGATTTTTATTAATATTGATTTAATAGAAATTTAATTTATGCTTAATCGTGTACATTTTTTCTTTTTACATTGACAATTATATTTTGGATAGGAAATCAATTTATTCTAGTAGGATAATTTTTTCGAATTTCTTCGTTGATCGATGCTCTTTAATAATTTCTTCAAAAGTTACGACGTTGCAATTTTGCTAGTACTTTTCTAAAAATCGTTTCTATTTTTGTTTCTGGCCAGGAAAAAGTAGTCGTGGGAAACCTAGCGTTCGAAAACTGGTTCCACATTTTTGGTTCTTCATGGGCTCGTCTACAAATAAAGAAACGTTCTACAACTCCTAATCCTCTTTCTACTTCTCGTAATCTCCCGATCGGAAAGAATCTCTTTCCAATGGAAACATTCCCAGGAAACAGACCGATCCTAACTTCCACTCTCTTGAAACTACAAATTCGATAAAAAAGAAAAAAAAAAAAGACGAGCTTCATAGGAAACGACACGAAAATTACGCGAAGATCCAGCGAAATTTTGTAATATTTATTTCGTTGAATGTAAGAATCTCTGAAACGTTATTCGTAAGTTTCATATACAAGGAAACACGCGCCACGAAAACATTGGTGCGAGTTCAACGAGCGTGATCGAATTAAGAAGACATCAAAGACGAGGATCTCATTTTGAAAACGCTAAAGTCGCTCCTCTTACGCACTCAAATAACTCTACAAATCATCGTATCTTCTCAAAACGAGGGAAACCTCGAAAAATAGTAAAACGTTCAAAGTAATGCCAGTGTAAAGTACAAGATCGCCCTTCGCTTCTTCCATATATATCTCGAGTAATTTAAGTAAATATCATCAAGGTAGCTTAGGGAAAATACAGAAAATTAAAGAGAAGCTAATATAGAAATGAGAAAATCTTTCTTCAGCGACGCAATAACATCATACGTTCCTTGAGAAATGTTTGAAAAGGGCTCCTTATCAACGATCTTATTCGTAACG